GTAAGATGTGAATGAATATGTAAATATATTCTAAGATCAACAAGGCACTCGTCAATTTGTTGTAATTTAGGTATTTTGGTAAATGCGTCCAGAGTACAGAAAGTAACGGACCATACAACTAGTGGTAGCAATCAGTTTTCCGATCTTATACCTAACCCTTCGGAGATAAAGAATATTTTCGAAAGTGCAAGTGATTCTTCGCAATCACAATCCAATCCTGACGAAATTAGCGTATTAGACCTTTTACAACTGAAATATGAATCATCAAAAATTAGGGTAATGCGACTTTACAATCCACTCATTTACTGTAGAATAGAATAAGTTCTAGAAATATGAGATAAGACATTCAAAATAAGATTGTATAATTAGGATATAGACTGTCATAAGCATTTCTATTCTGCCATTTTAGATAGGAGACCGAGTCATTGCGTCCGATGATAAACCAGGAGTAGTTCGTTTTGTAGGAAAAACTAAATTTGCTAGTGGGTGAGTAAATTCTCAATATTGCGATTGCTGGTCAATCATTAGATAATTAAATCTTATTGATCTTCTTAACTGATTTACTTCATGAATATTTATTAAAATACTGATATTGGAAATTGAAATTAAATTGAATAGTACCTGGATTGGGATTGAACTTGATGAAGAGCTAGGTAAGAACGATGGTTCGACGGCTGGCGTTCGCTACTTTACTTGTAAGCCCCGCCATGGCGTCTTTCTTCCACCATCTAAAGTTATGAAGTATGTCGATAGCATCATTATTCCTACTGCTTTCATTTTGGGTATTTTTACTAAATATGAATAATTTAGAGGATATCTAGATTAGCATGTATTAACTTATTAATCGGTGTATCTATAATTTAGGGATTTAAATTACTACTACGCAGCGAAATTACAGAAAGAATCTGACTTACAAGCTGCTCAAGCTGAAAAAGCCCGATTAATTAAAAATGCTAACTTGCCAGATGAGAATAAAAATAGGTATACCTACCTTTATCTCATTTTTCACCCGTATATCAATCAGTGCATTTGATTTCATGACTACGAAATTGTTGACTAAAAGACTGAACTTTGATACTATGTAATTATGTTAAAACATAGCAGTATTTGACAAAACGACAACCTTTTGATTTTACCTTACTCATTTTGTACTTACTTTAAAACGAAACTGTACATATTACGTGAAAAGTATACAATATACTGTAATTTTAAATCAAGCATTCATTAGAAATTTTTACGCTCGAGGTTATTGGAATCGAATTTAGATGGCATGTAAAACTGATTTCAGGACATTTCAATTCTTGCAAGCTGTTCCAATAAATTTTTTATCACAAGTTAAATTAGTTGATTCTATGGTGTACTATAAAATTATCAGCTAGGGAATTTAAAACCTAACAAAGAACGCTATGTTTTCATATTGGATTAAAATTATCAATATGCAACCTATAACCCTATTTTAATCGATAATTTAAGAATTTTTTTATCCACTATGTCTGTGACAGGGATGTTTCTGCTTCGAAATCAAGTATAAGTGACAGCGTTGATACAGTGCTTAGAAATAGTAAAATCAAAAGAGAGAGTGATGAAAAAGCGATAGCAATGAATCTAAAGCTCAAAACCAATACCAACAATTCTTTAGGCAAATCTGACCCTAACTCTTCCAGTATTACTGTCACAACGGTGAGTTATTATGGTCAATTTCAGCTGCATTGGTAATTTTCTAAATTAGAAATTGTATTTCATCGTACAGGGAATGAGTGCATACGTCAACAGCGACATTGGAATTATCAGATTTATCGGTTATGTTGAACCCCTGCATGGAAATTATCTCGGCATCGAGTTACGCAAACCAAGTAAGTTTACTGCGGAGTAGCCAGGAAGCCTATTGCTACACTGATAATGATAATTCATACTAAATTTATCTGCATCAGTTTAATTAATTTCACTTACAACGCTATTTTAGAGGGAACCATGGATGGCACATATGAAGGCAAAAAGTACTTTGCCTGGTATGATATTTAGTTATAATCCAAACACGCGCAAATTCTTTCTAGACACAATAATTTATCGTAGGAAATGTGATATACGCGTATGTTAATTTTTATCTGTGTTTAAAATTGAAAAACTATTCTGTTAACTCTCATGACGATCATCTTAAAATTTTGTTTTTACTTGTCTTCTTTAGTAAACCCAATCATGGTCTTTTAGTTAAGCCAAGTGCCGTTACAGTCCGGGGAATTAATGCAGCTGAATTAATTGAAGAATAGTCTTCCATTACTTATTAAGAAGTATATGACAAAATACCAACTTTTAACTAAGAAACTAAATTTTATGCGTTGCAATAAATATAGAAAAAGCAGTCTTGAGTCAATATTCTAATTCGATATAACAGTAGTATTGTGCAGTATATGGCTAATTTATTAATTTAAGATAGCATACCATATGCTTGAATATAACCGTATCTATATTTGCGAACTACTCGGTCAAATAATCTTATACGCATCATTCTTTCAATCTTACCCTTCTATTTTTACTAATTGTATTGCAATATTCTAATTTCAAGGATATCATTATCTGCGCTTACTTGCTATTTCATACAATCATTCCGTTGTACTAATTCTATATACTACGATTCGTCGTCAATTTATAATATCTTTTCTCTTAATGGTGTGTTCTCGCTTGCTTATACATATATATTATAATTCTCATTTATTAAAATTGCTTATTGTATAAGGCCATGTTTGTACAATGTAAAATGTATCGAGTACCTGCCTTGACATTATATAGTTCATTGTATGGCACTGGAATATTTATGAATTAATAATGTTTATAATTAAGTATCTATCTATTATCACTAGATTTATTAGGTCTCGAAATAAAGTTAAAAGAGAAAATGGTTCTTAGCTAGTACTATATTGTAGGTAGTTTTACCATTAACAGCTCAACAATATTTATATACGCGTATTTGCTAACGTTATGAAATTATACGATAAAAATAAATTAAATCACTTGTATTATGACATAATCCTTTTGCCTGTATTGAAGTGTCACGGTGCTAACTCACCGTACCAAAATAGTACACGCTTTGCGGCTACAATGATATTGTAAGCCGAGGAGATTACGTAACCAGATATAGATTGTAGACGGTACGATTTAAATTGTGATGTGTTAAAGGTCATTTACATCTATAGTTGGATTAGTATTATTCTAAGAGGTGTGTAAAAGCTTGTAGATAAGATCTATTTAAACGATTGGACAAATTAATAAAAAGTTAGTTCTTAGTTCCTAAGGTTAGAAGTATAACGGAAATCGAAGGTGTACGAATTATTGCGAGATCGTAGATTCGATCACAACGTTATCTTGTCACACGGGAATTTGTGACATGACGACGTTTCCATATGTTGTAATAGCTCTAACGTAACTAATTTGAATTTGTTTAGGTAAAAGAATGACAGTAAAGGCGAATAAATCAGTTGTAATACGCGATAATTATGAGATTGTTAGTGATTATATATGTTTATTTGTTGTTAAATAAGCAATGGCAGCTATACAATTTATATCGAGCATACTCCCCTAGAATATTACAGAATTGACTATCTTATGTACAATGATCGAAAACAATAGATATACATCATATAAGCCAGGTGCGGAGTACAAATATACATACGTCTAACAGTCATTTCTCAGTCGCCCTTTGCCTATATAATAAAATCTGTTCTACTAGCTGTAATTAAAGTGTGGTTCACACAAGTAATTTAGAATAGCAGATTTTATTACTGATTCTCTATCGATTGAGATACTACGTATTACGTAGACAATAGTACAACAAGCTCCGATAGACAAGGAAAACTTCCTGTAACAGCAGATCTTAGAAAAGAAGGACTAAGAACAACAATGGCAGANAAGTGTCGCTGCTTAAATATGTTATCTTACTTGTTTGTAGCATGATAATTGTGAAAAACATAATTCAAGACTTACAGAACTTAGTATGAGAATAAAATTATACGATTAGTATCATATTCTACGAAGCTGAAATCAACATACTTGAATTATCACAAACATTCTAATATATATCTATTATTGTTAACAACCCTAGATTTTGGTATTATTTTTAAGTTATATCTAATTTACTTCTACATAACATGTTGACAATAATAGCTTATCTAACAGCTGCACTACAGCCTATTCAACAACAGTAGATAACTCGTACATTGATCAGTAAGAAGGCTGGAAAATTTTCTGCATAAAAGATATGAAAAACTGCAAATTACCTTAAGGAATTATAGCAAAAGTTATTTTTGAAAAATTTTTGGTACAAGTCATTACATAGTACGCTGTTAATATTAAACTAGCTTTCTCTCATACTATATTGTCAAACTAAAATATAGCGGCAATTTTGCTTGTTAATAATTACAATGTGCTTATGTACTGCTTAAATTTAAGTGCTTAGTATCTGTAGGTGACATAGCGTCCCTATCAACCTTCCAAGTCACACATTGTTCAATTGTCATATCTAAATAATTTTGCATACGAATTGGAATGTTTGTCTGATTACGAACACTTCGTAAATGTGCAAGATCTTTCCAAAGCATTGGACAATATTTTGTAGCTAAAATTTTAAAATGTTGACGTTAGTAAGCTAACCACGCAATGAATAATTAATATTTAGCAGCAAAGCAGATTACTAATAATAAACTTACGGTAAACTCCAGTCAAATTTGCAAATGCCCAACTAGCAAAGTACTGGACTTGCATTGTATCATTAAGTAGAAGGTAAATTATCGGCGTTAACGATCTGCAATAGATACACCATGAATAAACATTAGCCGAGTATAAGTATCAAGTGGTACATTTAAATGGCAATCACTTTTAAATGTCATTAACCTATAATTGATTGTACGGTCTGCTTTTATATTCCAACTTTCGCTTACACTAATCTTTATGTGAAAAATGGAACATTTAGGTTAGAAAAATTTTACTTGAAAAAATGTAAAAAGTTATCAATGGATTGAATCGCTCACAATTTCATTTAAAGTCTCTTCACGTAACGTTTCGCTAACAGTCCACGCATCCTCTCCATCGGATGCTAAATGAGCCAAAATACCTGCTGAATTATAGCCTATTTCTAATTCACTTTCTCGTAGTAAAGATCTATAAATCATGACATAGAAACAACATTTTTTTAATTTTATCACATATATTGCCACAACAATCTACAGCATAACTACTAAGTTAGGCATTTCTAGTACATACCGGAACATTCTCATACAGTCTTCACGCATCAGGTAAAAGCGTAAGGATTTCACTTCCGCAACATTACCCTAGTTTCGTAAATGTAATAAAAATACATTTCTTTAGCTATGAAATTTGTAATTGAAATCTATAACTATTTAATAACTTACCAACAATCCAAGCATATTTACTATTAACGTTTTATCACCATGTAAAAACTACAAAAGTTAATTGATAAAGAAATTAATACAAGATTTCATTAAATGATAAATCTTATGCGTATGTGTGAAGGTACAATTTTATATCTTGAATTTACTTACTTGGAAACATTGTAAAAAGACATCAACCCCATCGTTTTTTAAAAACCTTTCACAATTTTCAGGTGTCTCATCTAATAAACCGGTAGTTAAACTATCATGTAGATTATTTTTCGTATTAAAATAGTACAAGAAATATCTTACCAGTTACGTTCCACATTGCACTCCAGGCCACATGCACAGCATGAGTACTCTAATGATGTAAAGCACGATTTACATTACGCAATAAAAATGTTGTTATTAAAACAATTAAATTAAATTACTCCCAAAATAGCACTAACAAGTATTCAATACTTTACCCTTCTAAGGTCTTCTTCGTCCAAGGCCGATCTTTCTTGTAATCTAGCAGAAATAATTCCAAGTAACAGCTAGAAATAAAACAAAAAATTTTTATCATCATTTAATTTTTCCACTAAAAATGAATTTTACTACATCAGCAAAATGATCCCTTACTTCGATGAAATTTAAAGAACCAAAATATTCCTTGCTTTCACCAGATACCTATTTACATTAATATGCATTAGACAGTAGATAATACCAAGCCCAAGATAACTGTAATTATAATTAATTCTAGTGTAGTATATATTATATGTTATAAAATGGATGATGACTAACTACCGAATCTTGCAATACTATACGTACCGTTATTTGAAATGCTTACCTGACAAACTAATGAATTACAAAGTTGTAGGGAAATTCTCTGAACGAAATCGTCCAAACTATTAGTCATGTATCCAACCAAGACTTTAGCCAATCTTTCATATACAAATGTCTGTATATAAAAATAACATCTTCTAAGTATGATAATACATTATGACACTTGATTATCACTACAGATAGCAATCTTTCTAACACCAAAATACGTACAACTTCTATAGGAATTCTAAAGTTGCATAATGAGACGCAAGTATTCTTTTGCAACTATCCAGATGAAAAGTAGATAGCATAATTAATAGTTGAAAATGTATTTTAAAAGAGCATATTAATAAATCTAAATTATAACATTATTAGATAGTGCAATATACGTAATAGTTGATAGGTAAGAGCTATAAAAAGACAAGCCGTTCTATACCTGAATTCGTGTAGATTGTGAGTGATGATGTTCCATAGCCACCAACAATGCTGATACTGCCATTCTAAAAATATTTATCAACCAATGAGTTATCAATGTCCTAAATTTACTAGTTGTCATTATAATAACATAGATATTATATGTTATTGTAACAAATCACCAGTGAAACAATCAATGCTGTAATAATAATTATATTATAGTGATGTAATGATGGAACGCAATCATTGGAATCATTGCAATTGATATTAATTCTGATATAAATATTATACTGTCAACTTTTTACTTCTACTGCTACAATCTGAAATCTTTTACAGCGTCAATGCCAAACGATTCATAATCGAATAGTTATCACTTATTTAATCAGTTGTATAATATCATAATTTATCATCAATATTTTTCCTATCATATCTTGTCGAAATATCGCTACCAGAATAATTAATGTTAAGGATGCATGTATATATATATATATATATATATATATACATTTATATTAGTACATGCTTAGTTTACTATATCGATACCCATCACTAAAGCGATAGTCAATTACAATAGTCATTCACCTTCTTAAGTCGATGCTTTGAGTTGGAGACGCTGAGTCTTTAGTGAAATGATAGATTGAAGCACTGCAAAGAATATCCACAAGATAATAGAAACGTAAGAGATTGACTGAAGCATCGCAGTGTCAAGAATAAACAGCTTTGCATTAGATATTCCGAATTTTAGATTACCAACTGGTAAAGCGACTTTTAAAAACACTAACAACATGCTTATCCTTATACTAACAATACTTAACTTTCTTTTGTAATCAAGTAACGAAAGTAGATATAACCATAATCTCCACTATAAAGAATAACTATCATTTGTTTTAAGTACTAAAATGGTGATTGATTTTAAAATTTACCTTCCAGCGCTTTGGATACTGTAATCATCAGGATATGTTAACATACATTGACAGACAGCCTGTTATAATGAGCCATTAATAAGAGCAAATATCAGTAAGAAGCGAATAGAGTCCAATAAATTTGATCATTTCTATCAAGCCATTTTTAGTTGGGTGATACATCCAATGGGCTAAAAATGAAAACATACCTCTAAAGCTTCATCATTATTGGATAGGTTAGAATGCCTGGCAATTTCGAATAGTCGTCTTAAAGCAGAGTCAACATACTGACGGCGATTTTTATATAATTTTAAGACCAATACGATTTGATGTTCATCTTGCTCTCCGGTAGTCTAATGAATTATGATTGGTAAGATGAAGTTATAACCAATCTAATTTACAATTGAAATAAAAAATAATTCAACTCAGATCTACTGCAATCCTTGGATTACTAAACCCATGGATAGCATACGTATCACTTTGTTTGTAATATCAATATTATTGTTTGACTCACATATTGAGCAAGCTGAGATAATCCAGGAAAATTATGATAATCGACAAACATCAAGCCTAAGAATTCTAACTTTGGCTTGACACTTAATAAAACTTCGAAATTTTTTCGACATAATTGCATGCCCGATAAATCGAGAGCTTCTAACTTGGTTAATTCTATGCAATGATAAATGACAATATCAATATTTAGGTTAGTGAATAGCTTCTAATTTGATTCATTTGATGTAATGATCAGTGATTGTATAGAATATTTAGGTTCGTTAATAGACTCATAGGCATATTTAGTCAGTTAGCTGGTTCAATGGCCAGATCGATGGACATATCTATTACAATAAATGATTTCTTTCCTGGTTGATTTGTACTGTGGTTAGTATCTATATGAAGCATCAACTACCGATACATAGATATATCGTCAACAAACGCCGATACATCTATTTCGATGAAGTTCTTCTATTGATAAATTAATCAATTACATCCAGTTTGAAAGGCAATTATTTAGCGGATTAGTCTATCACGACTATCAATGTAACGAACTACTGAATAAACCAATTTTTTTTTGTCCAAGAAAGTTATTGATATTTCCACGATAACTGCATATGAATGTTTATTCTAGGCTGTACTAATGTTATAATGAGTACTATATGAATGCATTATTGTAACTTGGGGTATACGTAATATCATATGATGATTGCGTTGATAACATGGTCAGGTATAAAATTTTGAAATAGTATAGTAGTAGCCTTCATGCTTGTTTTGCTATTCAAGGAATTCGCTAGCACTAGACGATCAGTTAAAATGGATTGGTTAGGGGAAAGAGTGTAATGCTGAAGGACAACGTTAACATAATTTAAAAAGTGTAGTTCTATCGCAGGAGGATAAGAGGGAAAATATTGTCTCATCATTAACAGTGGATTTCGAGCGTTTACCATCATGCTGATATAATAAAAAAAAAAAGGGAAAAATAATCATGAGCTAAAAATGAAGTATGCTATTGTATTTACCATGGAATAATTCATCTTCTATATATCCATATTGCCTCATATGTTCATAACCATTCATTGGTGAACATGAGATGTCCAATTTGCGCAAATTTTTCAATCTTAATACTGTCTTTAAAATAAAATCAGTGCCTAAACTATCGAACAAGAGTAAGCACTCCAAGGTATCGGCTAGCACTTCTAGACCTTTCAATGACTTCAATTGTAAACCGGATAAATTAATGGCTTTAAGATGACGTAAGCGTCTTCCTACATCCAATACATTGCTATCAATTTTAGTATAGCTAGCATCTAATGATCGCAATGCATGAAAATTGACGACACAACGAAAATGATTAATGGATGTACAATGATTGATATTTAAATGGCGCAACGTTGAAGCACTTTTACTCTCGAATAAATACAACACATATTCGGTAATATGATCATTTTCTGATACATCAATCTCTTGTAATTCTTGATTGGCTAAATATGATAATCCTTTATTGCTAATTTTACTTCGACGAGCACATAAACGACGCATTTGATTGTGGCTACCACTGCGAAATAAAGAAAGCCAAGCTTCATTGAGAAGATGACGAGCATTAAGCCTTTTGATCATTGCGTCGCCAATTTCGGGTGGTAACGACAAGGTGGGATAGAGAGGAAATTGAAATCCACTGCCGTTAGGCTGATCGACATGCGAGCTTAACTGCTCAATTAATACATCGATACAATATGCAACCAGTGAAGGCACTGAATAAACAGGAATATCCATGATCAACCAGAATAATGTGTCATCAAAATGGAAGACCAAAGGGAAAAGATGGTTGCTACGTTATTGACTAGCGACCTAGTAGATGATGGCCGCCTTGACTGGCTAGTTGACGTTTACCATGGACGGACGGAAGAGAGTACGGTGCTCTGGCTGCCCGCAAGGTATACCACTCCAGTATAGCTTGAGTCGACTAGTCCTTGCACTAGTACAACTCGATAAGGGGGCCAGAGTAGGACCCCAACCGAACCGCTTCCTGTCCGGTCCACTGTCCAGCGGTAACACGCTTATACCGCTATATACTGTCCTATACAAGCGGAGCAAACCATACGGAATGTATACTATCGCGACAACGACGAGGACATCGTATTAACGTAGAAACTCAAGCAGGTCAACACTGTGTCAATCGCAGTGCAGCGGCTCGAGCTCCAATCGCCTCCAGAAATAATGCTGAAACAGCTCGAGATGGTAGCCATTTCACCATGGCAATAGGATTAATTAAGAAGCTAAATAGCAGTCTTTCAAGGCTGTTGATACTACTCGTCTAGAAGGAGCTTTAAACCATCCTAGTTCTCGTCTTGCATGATATGGTTAGGACGTAAGGGCCATCAACAGGATTCCTCTAGCAACATGGCGACACTTTATACCGTGCAAAAGGGATATCAAAATAGGTCCTTTTTAGCCTTGTATTGTAGCCATTTCACGATAGCAACAAGACTAATTAAGAAGCTAAATAGCACTGTATATGCTGATGATGTGCTATTCGTCTAGAAGGAGCTTTAAACCATCCTAGTCCTCGTCTTGCATGATATGGTTAGGACGTAAGGGCCATCAACAGGATTCCTCTAGCAACATGGCGACACTTTATACCATGCAAAAGGGACATCAAAATAGGCTCACTTTAGCCTTGTATTGTAGCCATTTCACCATAGCAATAGGATTAATTAAGAAGCTAAATAGCAGTCTTTCAAGGCTGTTGATACTACTCGTCTAGAAGGAGCTTAGGAGCTTTAAACCATCCTAGTTCTCGTCTTGCATGATATGGTTAGGACGTAAGGGCCATCAACAGGATTCCTCCCTCTAGCAACATGCGACACTTTATACCGTGCAAAAGTGACATCAAAATAGGCTCACTTTAGCCTTGTATTGTAGCCATTTCACCATAGCAATAAGACTAATTAAGAAGCTAAATAGCAGTCTTTAAAGGCTGCTGATATACTACTCGTCTAGAAGGAGCTTTAAACCATCCTAGTTCTCGTCTTGCATGATATGGTTAGGACGTAAAGGCCATCAACAGGATTCCTCTAGCAACATGGTGACACTTTATACCATAGCAAAGGGACATCAAAATAGGCCCACTTTAGCGCTGTATTGTAGACACAACACTAGCCTACAGCAGAGTAATAAGATTCAAGAGGAAAAGTGAATCATTTCTATCCTTTCTAGTGCTGACGATTGGTTAATTGACTTCAAATTCAGCAAGGACAAGTTGTAAATAGCGCCATCTTGGAAGGGATCGACTTTCGATCATTTTAGCCCATTCGACCATAGTAATTAGTGATGGCTGACGCCAGTTACAGTACTTAGCCTATTTCTCTATCATCTAGAGTTAGCAACCCTAACAATACTATAAGACCTGGTGTAAAGCCGTATTGATCCATAACAGTAGCATCATTCGTATCGTATTTGGATACGGTTACAGTAGTAGTACTGTATTTATACTCAATAGTTTCGGGTTCAATGCGGCACAGACTTCTAACGGACTGCTATTAGTATAAGCCATTCACTACTGTCTGAGTAAGAAGACTGAAGTTGTTGACAGTTTTCAAGAGTCCAGCACGGTGACCACCGCCCTCAAAGACGGCCATCTTGCTCCACCTTGGACCCGTTTGCTGCCATTGATTGGCAAGTAATCCATTGCAATGCACACTAATCTTCTTAGATTGCTAGTAAACCTTTAAATAAACAATCGAACTTGGATACAACCTTACCAATAATAATCTTACAGTATCGCGATGGGCCAATCGAGCAAAGATTGTCATCATCATCGCGGTAGGCCAAGGCAAGAGATGCAAACATCCAGCAAGAACAAGCAATTAGCTGGATTAATGCTCCACGATGCAATCGCTGGAGGATTTGCTGGATTAATAACACGCTTTCTTACTTCACCGCTTGATGTCATCAAGATTAGGTTTCAATTGCAGCTTGAATCAACCTTTAAGGTAAGCCAATGGTGGATAACGAGCTATGCATGCTTTAGTTGTCAACACTCATAGCCTAGTAGCAAGCTAACTGAACTTTCAACTTGATCAATCATCTCCCAATGCTAGACACAAAAACAAAATTCAAAGTACTTTGGAATCTATCAATCCATGATAAAAATTATTTCGGAAGAAGGTCTATTAGCATTATGGTAACAATTCTTCTTCATTTCACCCTTCAATTTGAATCTTATCACACCTTCAATGTCTCAGCTTGACCACTATAAATCAATTATAGGAAAGGACAAATGGCTGGCCAACTCTTGTCCATCACCTATGGAGGCGTGCAAGTAGGTTATCTGCTATTTTATGACATAAATATTATTTTAAAGTGATCGAATCATACTGCTCTTGGTGCCTAGTACAACTGTATATTAAAGCTTACTACTTTGTGGATTTATAAATAGTACCCTGGCAAATCAGATATAAAATAAACTAAGAGTATACGAGTACAGTAATTGAATAATGATCGCGTCGTCATGATAACTACTCTTTTCTTCAAGCTAATACCTTTCATTTTATGATTTACAGTTCATGTCATATAATTTCAGTAAAAAAGTCATCTATGAACTACATCAGCAAAATATAATTTCTCCATTACAACCTAACGGTAACTACCATCAACAGTCACACTCTTGTCTCTACTGTAGAAGTGCACATTATTAGTACACATGAATTAACTGCCATCATTCATTTCAGTCGTCAGCTTCGTTTGTGGCAGCATAGCTGGCCTTACTGCTTCAACAGTAGCTCACCCTCTGGATGTCTTGCGTACAAGATTTGTCGCTCAAGGCGAACCTAAGGTAGTTGTAATTCTTTGCAAGTTGCAATACTAACCTTTCAATAACCATCAAAGTGTTTGTAATTTATAATAATACTATCTTATTTTATGCTATTAGTATTATATTAGCTATAAACACGCCTTAGCTAAGATGGGCAAAGATGAAGGGATAAGATCATTTTATAAAGGTAAAATTTATGCTACAGTTTATCCGATTGAACATTCTCGGAGAAGATATTTCAATATTCAGTAAAATGAATTAAACGACCATCCATAGGTTTATCACCAACATTACTATGCATAGTACCTCAGACTGGTCTGCAATTCGCGTTTTACGAATTTTTTATCCGAGAACTGAGAAGGTACTCAGTGGCTACAAGTAATGGAAAAGGGGTAAAATTGGTCACATGTTATTCATGTTTCAAGAAGACATTAACTTGTGTGTCCCTACTAGTGCATTAGCAAAGGATCGATATTTTTCAATCTTATCTTTGTAACTTTGTAGAATTTAAACAAAAATGGCGTCGATATAACTGTAAGTGGAGGCGCTGCCGGAATTTTTAGTAAAAGCATCATCTATCCACTTGATGTGGCTAAAAAACGATTAGAGGTATGGATCATATCGCATATACCTGCTTTTTCCAATTGGTTATCAAATCTGCATTTATTATAGTGCATAGTATTTTGATTGCTAGACATATTACAACTTATATAACTATGTTAATTGCAAGATACCGGCTTTATATCAATCATATCTTTTTCTCTTTAGGTAAATGGCTTTGTAAAGCCCCGAGAAAAATTTGGTCAAGTAGATAAATACAATAGTCTTAAAGACTGTTTTCTGAAAATATGGTCCACTGAAGGCCTAGCTGGCTTTTATAAAGGACTCTCTCCTAGCCTTGTTAAGGTGAATTGACACATGAATGAATGCAATACAATCGCACATATCTAGTGCTATGTAAAACTTAACCACATTAGCTATAGCTAGGATATCCTAGATTCTAAATTAATGACTTTTAATTTCATTATAGGCAGCATTATCCTCCTCACTGATGTTTTTCTTGTACGAAAAGAGTATTTATTATCTTAACAGAACACGAAAAGATAGCTGATGCATGCAAAGTGTCGGATACGATAGCAACAATTACTTTTAAAGTCAGATTCACCATATCCAAAGCCAGATCCTTGACAAAATATGACAGTCACAGAAAGCTATATTCTTATTTAAATGACGAGTACCTACATGATGATTTGCGGAAATCTACCTATAGATACTAGATACATTCTTTACACGTAATTTAAAGCTACCAAAAACCCCTCAATGTAAAGATACTGCATAATACATAGTACCATTACTGTAGACACATTTTTTCTAGCGGTATCTGCATTATTTTTTAAAATGACTTTATCATTTTTTTACTTAAGAACCTAATAATATAATTTTTAGCTTTGATGTAGAACTCTCAAAAATTCTTTATGCAAAATACTATATAACATACAGATATAGATACAATTGTATTAGGATATTTTATTTAGTAGTGATTATAGTCTTGTTTTAATGACGCACACTTAGCTGTTTATGCGCATAGATATACTTACAACTGTATTTCTTACTCGTGATATAAAATCTCTTAGAAAGGCTCTATGCAAAGATACTACATAGCAGATACCGTTATATATAAATATTTTTACGTAGTAGTTCTTACATTCTTATTTATTAACAAACGTTGAGCCGTTTATACGTAATATTTACTAGAGTTGTTTGGATGCTCTCTACAAAAATATTACTACTCTGATTTATATGTCTTCCTATGCTAGAGACTTCTCCTATCAATAGCGCATTCAAGTGTATTTGACTTTATTATCAATTTACTAAACTTCAGTTTATTTCATCTATTGTACAGCTGTACAGCCGATATCTGCGGTAACCAACAATTTATTAAAATTATTTTCATGTAATACAGTTCAGCAGAGATAATATCATCATTTTTCGACTACATCTTTATACTCGTATAACTACCATAGAGTCAGACAAAAAAATTAATATTTCTTTATGATTCGAGCTAAGTGGTTCTAGATGTGTAGCAACTTGCTTGTTATTCGTACACTTTTAAATATTGAGTAAACCAAGATAAGTATTTTAACTCTAGCATTTATAACACCTCTAGGAAGCACCATGTAACAAATAGATTATAATAGTACTCCAGCAGTGAAAAATTCTTTCTGATTGTGTATGTCTACATTTTTCACCGTACTGAGTAAACATCCGCAATGCCCTTATAACACGTACAGTTTTCGCAGGTTAGCATTCTAAATTATAATCTAGATACTATCGGAATGGCTAATCCATGGTAAAGAAAATGAAATCTTCCTTTCATTCCTTTATTGTTACACAACGGTATATACTTTACTACTTCGCTTATAAAATAAAATGTATCTATAGTAATCGATGACGGTAACATAAAACTCGCTTACTAATGTACGTCGATATTTCTATCTGAATAATATATTCGAAGCAAGAAGATACCGTAGCTTATATAATTAGTAACTTTTCGTGTAATTTCATCACTTAATAGTCAATATATGGCTAATCCATGTTGAAAAGTAACATTTCTTAATCCATTAACTGATATCGTACGGTATTGTTCAAACTAATCCAGATATAGAAAAAGCACATCGACAACAACAAAGTAAAACTCTATGGTTAATCTTCGTATATGTTTACAATGACGTAGTGATATTTATAACTAGTATACCAGATAGAATAATCGCATACAATCAATCTTATTGCTGGTGAAAAAAGTATCAATCAATGAACAATATCACTACCGTTCCATTTAAGAACCACAAGTATACAAGGGTGATCTTTTGTTGCAAATCCAAAAAATTGCCATTACTCCCAAACAGTACTACTGTATTGAATGACAACATCACTTCTATCTGCAAGATAGATAGCCGCATCCTCTTCAAAAGTTACGTGTATTTGTTTTAGCGGCGAAGTTAAAATCAAATTAACGCCCATACAATAACACAAGAAATGCCAAAATTATTCTTCAGCTTTTTTTCTTGAAAAGGTACAAAAGAAATAGCTCATCCATTATGCTAAAATTAAATTCATTACCGATACAATAGCATTCAATAGTTGAAAAGAAGCGAACTGACCTTCAAGAGTATAATTTATTATGATGTTGATCATCTTTTGTTGGTGTTTGTAACTGCTGACGATAATCTATATTATTTCTCATTGGTTTAGAGAGTAACAACCTGGAGTTTAGTTTCATGCCACTGTAGCCATACCTATAAATAATTAAAGTCTTCATTTTAGCATTAAATTAATATTTTCAGTAACTTGCAAGCAATGTTGACATAATATTTTGCCATATTCATAAATATTGACATACTTTACTAACAGCTAGAGAATGCATCCAGTGAATAGATTAAGTACGCAACTTATGGCAAATGATGGCGAATTCTAACGCTATTAGAACATCAATGTCTCAATCGAGAATTTTTAAAAATAGTAAATACTACTAGGACTCTACAATGTTATACAACGTTTACTTTAATTTACTAATTTCGTATTCTGATTAACGCTATACCGGGTACAAAAAGGAGATTAAAAAAACAGTAGTAGATCAGAACTACATAGAAGAAGGAGTTGAGTAAAGTTTATCGTGTGCATTTTTTCAGACTGTACACGGATAAAACCTTTAAATATAATATGAATCAACAGATGAAATAGTTCAACCGGATTTGTTCATATTCTTATCAAGAATATTTGGTAAAAATAAGGATAGAAAAAATGTAGAGTTAGCCTACTCCGTGTATGTAGCCCATCTTTCTATACAATTTTATCCATAACCAATATTTATTGTTGCCAATGAAGTCATGGATTTAAACAAATACGATATCAATAGTAACATGATATTCTAGAAGCGAACAACTATTATATTGTTTATGGAGTTGAATCATTATTCTTGCTAAAATTTCGAAAGGCTATCACTAAAAAATAGCATTCAATCTATAATACAAAAATTATACAGTCTAATAACAATTCTATAGAAATAAAGGATCAAAATAATGTCTTAGAATTGATCATTATTCTAGTTAAATTACAAATGATGATAGTGAATAAACAAGCTCATCTTGATTAAGGATCATCAGCTTGATAAAAATATGCCTACCGGCTTAACGAATTAATTTAACTATAAATTGAAAGATTCTCGTGATGCAGTAAGATTGCATTCTTGATAGACTACTTCGCTTGGAGAATACTGATTCTATGAGATATTCTTTACTTTTAATCAACAAGTTTAGCACTTGTTTCAAGACTACGGATCTTGTAATTAATAATTAATAATATATTATGCTGACAAAATACTCTATCATTTGGAAATTTTACCTAAGCATAATTTTAAAAGACTCCCCTATAAAAATATTATTGTAACCTATTTTAATCTAGCCAATACTAATTGCATATGGAAATTCTCTCTGGCTTTGATCAGTTCGCCACGGCTTTAAAGAAAGCTATCGTAAAAAACACAATTATCGATTCAAAAAATTATCCGCTATGACTATTGATAGTAACCCAACAGCGACAATATCAATCCATTACGAAAGCCGGTACTAATTTAAGGAGTTCATTAAATCGTTTAGTTCCTCTATTTCTGCTTTAACCTAATAACTTCCGTCCTACTCTAAGAAACGATCATTCCCAGGATCAGAGCTGATCTTTTACTTAGAATTAGTCCATTATCAATGCTATATTTTTCTACTATGGCCTATGCAAGGAATTCATTTCCTTTCTCTCACTCTCCCTGTATCTCTTTCAATCAACAATTTTTTTTTAAAGTGGACGTAGAAAATAAAGCTACTATTCATCTATCCCTACACTATAAAATACTCAATTAAAAAATCTTCTTTCCTTTAACATTGTAAGAATAATAAATCGTTTTCACATTGTCAATCGCCATCCTTTATCTAACATTAATCCAGTATAGTAGTAATCTCTCATCGATTTTGAAAAAGTCAACGTAGAAATGAAATTCCTATTTGTTATCCCTACGGTATAAAATACTTCAATCGAATAACCCCTTCCATTTGCAATGTAAGAATAATTAATTATTTCCACACTGTCAAGCATCATCCTTACCTACTATTAATCCAGCACAGTTTTGATTTATATCTCTTATCAAAGACTTTAAAAGTCAACGTATAAAATGAAATTCCTACTCGTCTATCCCTACGTTACAAAATACTTTCATCCAATAACTCCCTTCTATTTACAAGGTGAGAATAATAAATCATGTGCACCATGTCCAGCGTCATCCTTTACCTAGCAGTAACCCCAGTATAGTTGTAATCTGCCAATCCAAGATTTTGGAAAAGTCAACGTAGAAAATGAAATTCCTATTTATCTATTCCTACGGTATAACATACTTTAATCGAATAATCGCCTTCCAATTACAATACTAGACTAATAAATCCTTTCCAACATGTCAAGTGTCATCCTACAACTAGCTTTAATCTACCATGGTTATTCTCTTGTTGCTCAAGAAGAGAAGATTGTACCTAGAAAGGAAATACAAATCAAACTTTATTTGCCCGCAGCTGATCTACTATCTATTGTTATAAAGCAAAATAAGATGTAGATCATCAACTATGTTATATTGTCATATTATTCAAACTATTGTACTCTTCTAGCGTCATAACTAGGTTTAATTTGTTATAGGGTAATGGAAGAATTTTCTTTGACAAACTAATAATTAATCAAGCAGCAACTTCATTAATATTCAGTGACGTGATACGCTCATTATCCTTAGTTTTTTTTTTATGGAAACAATTTCATGCCTTTACTATGACAAGATGATGTACTGTATTAGCCATCTACCTCTCCACAGTGTTGAACTCTCATCTTACTATATTAGTTGTAGACGCGTTGGTATGTCGTCGTTACTGAGTTATACAATCGATCGAGATCATTTATATCAAGCTTGATTATTATTATTCTAACATTGGATATAAATTGACTTTTTCATGGAAACCACCTTGGAAAAAGAGATTGATCTACAAGAATCGCCAGCAGGTCCACGTGAACGATTGAAAAAAAGAATTTCCAATCGATCATTGCCTCATGTACCAGCGGGAAGCAATGGCAATCAACGACCAGCAACGCGAAAATTGCCTTCAGCTCCATCGCCTATTACCACGGCTGGCAATGATCAAAATCCATTATCTGGTAAAATTCGTGTTATACCTATTGAGGCACAATTGAAGCAATTAGAAGCAGCAAGACGTCGTTCATTGCCGATGACAGCGGGTAATAAGCAAGAGATTTTAGTTCAATTGGAAGCTCGAGATCGAGCCGAAAGTTTCAAAGATAGAATGGTTGATCCATCATCTTCTTTACCTTACCATTTTCAACATGAAACTTACTACGATGTCGAAAGCCATCAAAAAGGCACGCAAACGCTTATTATTGATGCATTCGATGAAGTACGAGTACCATGGACTATCGTCGCTAGATTTAAACCAACTTCTCCTGGGTAATAATGATCTATTGACTAGACATTGATTGAAATTTGAAGTAAAAACTTTAGAAAATACAACAAATTTATTGTCTACTATCTCTCTAATCAATCTCGATAGGATCAATTAAATACAACTTATTGTAGAGTGTCCATAGATAGATGGAATCCTATCTACTATGATATAATATCTTCCGTAGTTTAAATAAAGGTAGAGCTTGTTTATAGATAAGCGCTTGATAGACATCGATCTTGATTAATTATGAGCGATATAAATGGCAAAAATGCCATCTTGCAGCTAAGCATAACGAATAATAGAGCAATCCATCGTTTTACAGCGCAGATTGCTTTTTCGCCTCATTTTTTCTGCTCCCTACACACAATACAATTTATTCCATAACTATTTCTACTGGATCTTTTATTTAAATTTTAATCGCTTCTTTTCTCCTATTGCACTTAGAGATAAAGATCAAAATATTGACATCGGTCAAAACAGAATCACTTATAGAGCAACAAGTGGTGAAATTTATGAAAGCAATGTTGATCGGGTCATCAAAGCTACGGATAAAGACAACAAGCACGATGAACTTTATAAAATGATCGGCCAACCTATAGTTAACTTAGCTTTCAAAGGCTATAATACTTGCCTTTTCGCCTACGGACCAGTACGTAAACAATTTTAAAGTAGAGAACGATAACCTAAATAGAATGCTTACTATTGATGCAGATGTTGACATATATAAAACAGTTTATTTGAATCCTTCCTCTGAATTGTTCTACCTTTTATCCTTTCATTGGTATGATTACTATCGTATTATAAGAATATTCAAGTACCCCAACTAGCCACTAATCATACTATGTACTTTATTTTCGATCGACATGCTATTGCTTATCTAGTATGAGACTATGCCGTTATGACTACAAGCATTACGATAGATATTCCATCTATAGCATGTAATAAATTCAAAATAAGAGATAGTTCAGGTGGAATTCCTACTATTTATGTAGACTTGAACATAGACAATATTAATATAGAATATCTAATTTTGGATCATTCCCTTCAAGTATACCACTTTTAGCTATTTTGCTTCATCATCATTACAATCTTTATCGGCATCATTTTATTCTGATGTCTATGCCAAAAAGTAGAAAATGATGCTGTCCTTTTTGTTTTTCTGCCAACTCAAACTTCCATTTATTATAGGAGCAGATTAATACTATTACATGTATCATCATGACAAGCTTTTAATCCATGTCATTTGCAAGAGTTTCCTGTGCTTTCAATTATGACTTCGTGACCTTTAATGTTCCTCCTTTTCTTTTGGTAATTTTTTTTAGATTGGTAGTGGAAGATCTTACTGGTAATTGTTTCTAGAACCACCATATGCTGGTTTTAATACAAATATTTTTAATTCAAATTAATAAAGCTACTTAATGCCACTTTTCAATTTCCATTCCTCGAATTTGTCTTGCGTGAATACTTTAACATTGATAATTAGTGCCTTTCCAATTTTCTTTTACTAGCATTACCGGCAATGATATGGATGAAGGATTAATTCCGAGGATATGTGATGAATTGTTCGATAAAGTAGCAGAATATGGGGAGGTATTTGCACTTTTCTTCAATGTTTTCCTTCCTTTCAAAATATCTAACCAAGGTATATTGCTGTTAACTAATTAGGATAATGCTAGTATCGAATTTGGCTTTTACGAAATATTCAATGAAAAAATCTACGACATATTAGCACTTAATGAACATACTAAGGCAGTATGTAATCTTAATTCTAAGAGCATAAGTCTAGCTTTTGAAAATGATTATTATTGAACTCAACAGAATATTCATATAGCTATAGATAGATAAGCGAGCAAACAACTTTTCCATTAAAAATTTCAACTAATATTAATCATTCCTTATTTCACTCATTATTAGCTAAGCATATTAGAAGATCCGCAAACAGGACCTTATATCGATAATTTATCTATGTAAGCTACTTTTAAATTAGAATTCAAAATTCTTCATAAAAAATAAAAGAAATATTAGCCCATCATCTATAAAATGAACTCTGTTTAAAGGATCGGTAGTAATATTAATAATAAAAATTTTTTTACTATCGAAAAAGGTTTATAGTGAAATGTAAAGAAGACATTATAGTAAGTTAGAAGATAAATGATGCTTATAATATCTTCAAATTAAGGTAGACTTTCACATTTTTAATTATTCTACAAAAGATTTAATGTAAGCTAAAAATTGAATATAGGACTGGCTAGAATATGGACAAAAGTTTAGGGCCATTTACAGTAACGGAATTAATCGTCGAAGTCGTCGAGCACATGTTGTATTTACGTTAGTTTTAAAAGTCTTCGAGGTAGTTTTCTGCAAGTTTCCTAGGCAACCAATAATTTTAAAATCATAGTGCAATTTTTATACCGTCGATTTTGAACTTATCATGTATACTATATTATAGATAGTAATTGTCCTAATTTAATCTTCTATAGACAACATTGGATGGAATAGAAGAAGTGGCAACCACTGCCAAAGTATCACGACTTAATATCGTTGACCTAGCTGGTTCTGAACTTGGATTTCAAAATAGTGATATAGTAAATTATATGCATCTCATTAACATAGTAACAACTATTTTCCAGTTGGCATGCATGTTAAATTCTTAATATGACTATTATACTATATAATGTAACCAAACAAATACTAAATTACTATCTTTTTTTTTTAATATACAATCTTAGGACAACTGTAGTATTAGTCAATCGATACAATCCTTCAAGGCAATAATTAGGCAATTATCCATGGAAGAAACTGATGAGAACAAAGCTGAACGAGCTTATAAAGATTGTGATTTAACGAGGTAATACAACTTCATAACATGATTTCGAGATGGAAAGCTTAATAATTTCAAACTATAGATTAAAATGACCTGCACAGTAGACAGAAATTTCCTGTTCATTCTTTGTTTAATCCAGTTTATTAAAAGAAATCCTGGGTGGAAATTGTAGGACTTTTATGCTGGCAACTCTTAGTCAAGCTGCTTCGAGTACTGGCGAAGAATTTATAGATACGATAAAATATCCAAGAATATACCAAACTATGTCAACTCTAACATTGTTATAGAAATTTGATCGTTGCGTAACTATAACTTTGTTGCTATTTTATATCAATCAGATACAATGAAATATTTAAGGTCTATAAAACTGTTTAAAATTCTAATATTAGCGTAAAATGACATCACTTTATTGAATAAGAGTATTTGTATTACTACTCAAATCATCTGGTTAATTTAATCGTTTCAAGATTTTACGAAATGGGTATCAATTATAAAAAATTATTCTGTGAATTCCAATTTGATTGCTTTATTAATCTAGAAATAGCATTGCATGGATATTTTATAATCCTTAATAATTCATAAGTTATGCAATGCTGCAAAGTCAATTATAAATCGAGCACGAATTAATGAAGATATTTATGGTCTCCATCTTAAAGGTACTAAACTTCAGATTATCGTCATGATAATATCTAAAAAAGGCTAATTACACTATAATTATAACTGTTAATTTCCTTACTGTTTTGGCTAATATAAATTCCGTCGTAGAATTAAAGAAGCAATCAAGTGACCTTAGGAGCCTTATGGCACATCAAGAATCCAATTCTACATGGAGCAAAGACCTAGCCAATATACAGAAAGACATTGCTATCACCGTTAAAGAACTTACAAGAGAAAAAGAGTAAATTTAAAAATTCTTTAAGAAATTGTGCTATCATGCAAATCAGTACAATACTATATGAGACTGGTTTAGTTCAAGATTTAGTATAGTTATTTTCTATTCAATTCATTCTGATTACAGATTAATTAATTATAAATATGAAGAATCTAATACATTTAAAGATAGAGCACGACAAGATCTTGAGGTAAACTATATGCGCAATCAACCGATATTACTTGAAATCTACTATTCAAAAATGATTTTAGATATCTAAAATAATTTTATCAAGTCTTAAAATTAGAGAAATGAAAATAAAGCATTATTCCATCACCAAAATTGTATTTCAGGAAATGGGAATTGCACCCATGAAAGACAGCAAATTTGATTACTTGGTTAATTTACACGAAGATGATCGACTATCAACTATTTTGTACTATATCTTAAAATGTAACTGAACACTACTCCGGATAGACTTTATTTAGAACTAAAGTATATTTGCAAAATAGTGGAAAATAAAATTGCAGGATAAAAATTCCAACTGTTATCGCTATATTATAACGAGACCAATCTTTCCGTATCAAGCAGCATACACCTCCGTGGGAAGTCTATATTCTGATTGCAACATCCGTTTACCTGGTGCACTCATAAGTGAAAGGCATTGGTAAGTTATCGTAACTATTATGCCATATGTTTTCATGCTATGGTATAAGATAAAATCTTTTTTGATCATTTACGACCTAGTGTATTAAAATTACTTATTTATGGGTTATATTGGACATCATAGATTAAACTAAACGAGTAGAATAATATCCTATGTATCCCACTAATGGCGAAGTAATGCTGTCTAACTAAATAATTCGTTAGTTTTACATTGCAAAATGATTTTAATCAGCAACGGTCTGGTCTATTTCAATCTATGGAAATGCAGTTTACATTGTAATCTATATTTTAGCCAATCTATACTCGGAATAAGCTATAGTTTTTCCCAGCCAGCTAAGTGATGGCTTTGAAACAATCCATCTGCGCCATAATATAAGATAAAATTACTTGACTAGAAGCGATCGAGTCTATTTAAATCTATGAAAGATACAGTTTATACATACTATAGCCTATGCCCATAACCAACTTACGAGCAGATTAAAGTTATATTCAGTCAACCATGACAATCTTATCGGTTTCGGTATTTACGTTATGTTATAAGAATAAAATTAATTTAATCGTCCATGATTTAGCTTACGATACAATCTGCCCAATAGTATCATCCATTAGTACTACAAATTATAGGCATATAAATTACTTATTGAGTTACGATTTATTCTATGTAAAATTTCTGATAAGAAAAGCCACTCTTAATATAATTATCATTCTAGCTATCATATATTTAGTTAAATCATATCCAGCCAAAACTAATAATGATATAATCTAATCAATTATCGAGTACTATTTAACTAGATTCTAGCTACTGTAGACTCGTTATTAGTCTATTTAAGCAATGTCAAAAATACAATACAATTTGTAATATAATCTTAGCTTAAATACAAATTTACTGCAATATATCTCGTACACCAAAAACTACATGTTTTCTTATTTATAGCACATTGCAGTTTATCAGTTTTAAGAGCAATAAAATTATTGTTATTATGAAATATCAAATAAGCTAATTGCAATGCATATCACATCTATTTAACAGTTACTTCGAAATTAGCGGTGATAAAATTACCGTCACTCCGACAGGTAAGAGTTTAAATTAGTGAATAGTAAAGGAAAGTGCATACCATACTATACATTTGAATTCTTTTCTACACGTCCAGCTCCCCAGAGATATGCTTACTTCTTCTAGTTTTAACCTATGATCTTTTCCTTTATAGAAAACTCAGCCACATACGTCAACGGTGAATTACTTAAAGAAAAGAAAGTCCTACATAATGTAGGGATTAAAATTCTGGTTTATCGATTGTTTATTTTCCTTTCTCACTGATGTAACACTGCTCTCGCTTTTGTAGAATGATAAAATAGTCTTTGGTGATCAATTCTTTAGGTTAGAGATTAGGCATTGCGCATCATTACTACTTAAATTGGATAAAACCTTCTTCTAGTAACAAACTATTGACCTCACTGCTGATAAAAGAATTTCTTTTTTCTCTTTATAATTTGCTAGAGTAAATTGTTCCAGAAGACGTGCATTGATTTTAACGCAACCTACAACAGTTGGATCAATTACATTTAAACATGCATATCAGGAGCTGTTATCCAAACAGCTGGAAAAGTAAGCAGAACATAAATAATAAATTAATCGATATTCTATTATCCTTTGATGTAAAACTAAATATATAGCGGTAGCTATACTCTTACGGTAAAGGAAAAAATATACAATAATTTAATCTACTAATTCTATATACTGTAAAGATAGTCAATACAATTTCATGGTTATTTGTTTTCGTAACAGCCTTGTTAGAAGGACCTAGTTCTTAATAATACAATGGTCATTTGTCTTTATAAATCGGTGATGAGAATATTCATTCTAATTCAAAATGATAGCTAGCCAAGAACATATGAGAAATACTCTTTTAATTATCTTGATAGACTCGGTGGGGTATAAATCGAAGACAATGAATTTATCTTTTAGCTGTTCGCTATAACAATTCTCATAATTTAGCGCTGCAGATATGATTTATGATTTATAGGGGCACGATCTAAGTACCTAGTGTTACAGTTTAAATTTCTAATGACAATCTTTATCCTAATTCCCCAGTAGAGAAAAGAGAATATCCCTTTTAGTGCATAAATAATCAGCGTTCTCAACTATATGATAATTGATCATTTGCCTATTTTTTGGCGAGGATTATCAAATGCTATTACTGTCAATTTTAGTCATAATATGTTGAATATAATCCAAATTATAATCACAGTTTACATCTATAATCGAGGACAAAGATATCTTCAGAATAATTTAACACTCTATGGTGGAAAATACTGGAGACTTTCGTCCATATAGAAATATCATTGTCTACGCATCCTATATCCATTAATTCTTGCTAATATGGATGAATGGGAAGAAAAGTAATTCCTTATAGATGTTAATAGAAAGGATTCCAATTTCTACATTATATACAGCAATTAGCCAAATAGTCTATTCTGTTACTATTATAAGGGACGAAACAAAGTTTCTGTCTAGTAATCTTGCCTCCCTATTACATCTCCGTAGTTAAGACAAGCCTATCCTCACCAAGTTCCTGTCTAGCCACCTAGTCTCCCTATTACATCCCCATAATTAAGATGATACACCATTATAAAAGTAATCACTGTAACTTGAGGTAATAACGTCTATAGTAAAGTCAGTTCTTAAGGGTCTACAATAAATCAGACTAACTGGATTTAAAACCCAAACTAAGCTTTATTACAATAAAGCTAACCGTAACTGCATTTACAACAAAATATTAACAAGAAGAATTCCCAATCTACTTCTTGTATAAGCTTATATGTCCTAGTGCATGACCTATTTAATATCGATGGTAACATTATCACACTTGCATGCGCTAAGCACGGGCATTGAATTACTATATTTTACCGGGGCACAAGCGACTAATGGCATTTAAACTACGCTAGTATTATAGCCTACGGTAGTGCATATTAGTAATTCCATAGTTAATTCAGAATTTAACTCAAGTACTAAGCTCACGACACTACAACAATTATTTCATGATGCAGGATAATCCAAGAAATTGAAAATGCTAATAATCAACTAGACGAGGAAATTTCACAAAAAATCATGGATTTACAGGTAAATCAGGAATCTTGGCTGGATTCTATTGCTATATTCAACTGCGTTTTAAGTATTTCCTTAGACAAAATTGAAAGAATTTTAGATACAGCAACAATTTAACAAAATATGATTGACTAACATAGAAACAAGATGGAAATCCTGCTCAATTACGCATAGCAATTGAAAAGCTAGAGTTCCAACAGAGTGATTTATCTATGGTTAGAGAATGGATCCGAAATTTAGTAAGTAGAGATGATGCTTGTCCATAATCCAACCTTACATGCTTAAAAATGATCTGATTATTTTTCACTTTCTATTTATATATTTCAATTTGGAAAATTTTGACTACACTATAAACTAGAAACGACTAAGAAGGATAGATCCAAAGAAAAGAAGAGATAGTTTAATGAGTATCGGTGAATAAATTCTAATATAGCTAAGTCATAGAGAATTGGAAAGGAAAATGATCGGAAATGGCTGATTCAAATATTTTTTATTTTACTGACAGATGAAAGTACTTATGAAAGTTTAAGACTCTCTATTCTTCTCAACGAAGCCAATCATATTAGTAAAGCTATTGGAGAAACAGCAGTAAGTATATCATTATCCTAATATTTAGAAAATTGAGCCAAATTGAATTTCAATATCTCAGTCTGTTCATTGATGATTATCTACGTAGATATTTGATCGTCTTGACAACGTAGTCGATGGAAAGGTAAGAAGCAACAGGATGAAGGGTTTCTATTCGACCTTAAAAAAAGCTTACCGAAGAAGTTTTACAATAACTGATCATTGACGATCGTTTTGGTCATTTCTTTTACCAGATTTTAACTAAAATCTCCATGAAAAACCCACAAACTAACAAGACTACTACCTGGTCCTTTTTGAAATTTGAATCGCACCTCGCTAATATGCGCGAGATCAATTGGGTAGGAGAGGATTTCTTGTTTAAATAGAGATGTTCTAGTTGGCTGTGATCCACTAGTATAAGTCTTTGGTTTTAGTTGGATCTTATGAGAAATAGAAGTAGTAGGATATTAGAGCTTTTCCGTTATACTTCTGTCGGTGATCACCATCTTGACGTATTGAAGACCTAAGGGAAAAATTGAAATTTCTGTTCACTAATTTGTAGGAAACCAACATGAGAAAATCCAATTATACGGATGAATTAAATACCGGTCGAGTTGGAGTCTATAAAATTGGTAGCGAAGAAGCAGAAACAACAAACAAAGAGAGAATCCTTATTCCAAAATCAGAAAGCGACCAAAGCGATTTTATTAAATTATCGGAGAAATTACTCAACGACATGACTATAAAGAAATCATCAAGTTTACCGATACGAGATAGTACAAAAGATCTAGCGGATATTGCCATGACTGATTTATCCAAAGTTTTAGCTAATGTCGAACCTGAGAGTAAATTAATAGGGAAAGACGAAACAGAAATCGATACTACAGAAATAGTACTAGAAAATCCAATTATTGATCCGTTGGGTTTAGATACAGAATCAATGACAATCGATTTAACTAATGAAGAACAACGAAAATCACTAACAGATTCCTTATTTCAAAATTCCAATAAAATCAACAATTCTTTGTATGGCAGTTCGGGGGATAAATTAGAATCGTTATTTCATAATGTGTCAGGCGATGTTAATTCACCTAGTAGTAAGGAAACTTTAGATAGCACTGAAATCAACGATCATGACTCTGAATTAACGTTTAATTCCATTTCCTTAACGGGTAGCAAGCGTTCATCTGTTGCCAGTCAAGTAGAAATACATCCAAGTAGCAAGCGATCATCTGTTGCCAGTCAAGTAGAAATTTATCCGGATAGCAAGCATTCATCCGTTGCGAGTCAAATAGATATACATTCTACCCTTCAAAGTAATTATTTATCTAAAGAAACACAGCAGGATAATCCTAATACAACGGGAGATATCAATGATAGAAATCATTATTCCAAGAGTGAAGAATCTACGAAGGCCGTTGATAACAGGACTATACCCAATGCAAGTCCAGTTATTGCCATGAGCCATGATAATTATACTTCAAGTAGTGGTGAAGATGATCGAAGTTCAAGCTTACGACAACGACCAGTAGTAAAGAAAGAAGATCTAAAGCTGTTGTAAGTTATAGCTAATGGTTGAAGAATAGTATTACTCACTTTCTTAATCTTTTTGTTTCATTCAGTGTCTTAAAATGTGCTAAAAGTAACTTAAGTATAAAAATGAATTAAATTCGTTTTCATTTACGGTATATAGAGAAATTGTGGCCAAAAATAGTATTCAGACTGGGAAAGGATCGAAAGGAATTTACCCTGTAAGAAGAGGACGCAAAGCCGAAGTGGCTTCACTGGTAAGATAAACATTATTAGGGAATTTTTCAGTGCCTTAAGTTATAAGTAATGTACTGCTTTTGCGCTGATATGATATAATAATAGCTTTAACAGTTAAATCATCGTTAAGATAGAATAGACACTATTACAAAATTATTCAATGCCTTTTCAATTAAGTGTGATATTGCATTGATATGATAAAATAATAACATTTAGCAATTACATGATTAGTAGGTTAGGATAGACCCTATTAGAAAATAATAGTGAAAAGTACTAGCTTCAACAGGCAAATCATTAATGAGATAGAATAGACACTATTAGAAAACATTAGTTAAAAATACTAGCTTTAATAGTTAAATCATTACTAAGGTAGGATAGAGAATATTAGTAAATACTAGCTTTAACAGTTTAATTAATGATTGGTAAGAACAGATAGATATTATTAATATTTAAATATTAGCTTTAATCGTGAAAGAATAATATATACACTTACTTGTAGGAAAGGGAAATTTTATCTGCACCATCAAGTCCTAAATTAGAAAATCGAAAATGTAATGGACTCAATTTAATATAGCGTCCATCTGATACAAATTAATAAGTATTCTCTTTATTATTGCACAAATATTAATAGTTATCAATTTCTTGCATAATTAGCCTTCAATTCCGCAACAACTATTGTCAAACTTTGTCATGATCATATCCAAAAGGCAATCTCATTTTTGGAAGGTATATCTAGATAGTTTTTACATACAATAGCAAAGCTACAATTTCATATCTCGAGAATTCGGAGTAGAATAATAAAAACTCGACGTTATAGCCATTCCATTAATTTGATGTATTATCCGTATTTCTATATGTACCTTGTAGCTGGAGTACAAGCCTGTTATGTCCCACTACCTCAAAAAGTTTTACACGAATGCCAGATGCTATCAGCTTTTGGAGCCTTATTACTCAGATACTATAATAAAGGTAATGAAAAAATTTCCTGTAACGTTGGCTAAATTGATTAATAGGGCGAAGATACTGGCAAAATTCGATACAAAATAACTTATTACAAGTGATTCTATTATAATATACGCCTAACTTGATTATCGATCAAAACTTAAAAATATTCTCAGAGAGAGTCGGAAGTTCCGTTAACCTAAATCATTGCTGTCTCCAATTAACTGTATCGATGGAAATGCTGGCTGAACATGTTCGAACTTGGGGTAGTATGGATATTGCCCATAATACCTATGATCATATTAATATCCAACTATTAGGAATAACAAAGATCGCAGGAGGAAATGTGGCTAATATGCTTCTGGTAAGCTAATTTAGAAATAAATAAGTCGTGATTATTAGTAATTTAGTACTCCTGAACATCAGTTATTGACTACTTTAAAATTCTACCATATGTTATAGGCTGCTGAAACTTGGAAGGTCAGCGAAATCCATAATTCTTATAAGAGAATTTATGATTGTGTCCATTCTATTGCTGAATTATCAGGGGAACATACCTTTGTATCAGCATCTTACCTATTTAATGATGAGAAAATTGATAATAGCGATATGATTGATGACATAGATAGCCATCGCAACCTTATTCAGGTATAGATCCATTTGTGAAGCAATCTTGGTGTGATATTTTCGTAATAGAGAGCAGTTGCATGCGTGATGTTAGTTGGGTGTAGAAGGATCTCAATTTTCGCTTTAATCAAATATTTCTGTATAGACAATATTATAAAGTTCTAATTTCGATTCTAATTAAAAATAAATTCATATTACATTAGTCTTACTATCCGTGAGAACTAAATAGCTAATAACTAACTGTACTATATCGCTCTATAATTTGGTATCCTATGAATAATTAATCTATATAAATTCAAACATTTTAATAAATCTTGTTATTAATTCTATTAGCTAACATCATTTCAATTTAATAGAATAGTCGTTATTAAGATGCAGCGATAAATTTACCTATAGTTGGAATACATCTAACTGTTTATTTCCAATAAATAGTTGGATAATTATCTGAAAAAACGATATATTGATGGATCAAATCGTCCCATCGAGAAGGCGATCATCGAAGCTTATGACTGTATTTTGGAATGTGATGAAAAACTTAGTATCACCGGACATTCTCATCGAGTTCAGGTAAGATACATGAAACTATTAAACGTATTCTTAACTTAAAATATTTAAATTGTAGATTAATTCCTCAATAAATATATAATCTAGATAAGTGTTGAAGTCATAAATTGTCTCCTTGACATTACACAAGATGTAAAAATTTTATTAAAAGATCAAGGGCTCTTGCAATCGATAGAGGTAATGTAAAAATTCTATCACTACCCATCTGCCTTTGTAATAAGTATTTTATGTGAGATAATCATGAATAGTATCGTCCAACCCTAAGCTAGCATCATTATGTTTCGATCAATATCGATGTCATAGTCTTCAACTTTTGAAGCTTAATTATTTCGACCAGATATTTATTCTTTAAGATTTTATATAACTGACCTTAGATATCTTTACCAATTATAGAATGATATTGACGATTTTAATCAAGTCTATTGCCAATCTTCATTTATTCAGTCGGTTTATAATCGAGCAGTGGTTGTTATTAACGATGTTGAACGATTAAAACTGGATGTTCAATCGCTAATTGCTACCTGTTGTGACAAGAACAGTTTAAAGAATAGATTGAAAACTTATGAGGAATCAGTTCAATATAGTAAAAGTATTATTCAAGATATTTCAAAATTGTTAAGAGTCATCAATCGGCATTCCAAACGTTCCAGTTTAATCCCAAATACACCAGAAGATGGTTCAGTAAGAACGCCCGACTTATCACTGTTTGATCATTCTAAATCTCAAGATGACGACACAGACACTGGCATCATTGATCTAGCACAAAAAATTATACAAACTTGTAATACATTAAATAAGATTTTAAGTAACAGGTCGTCAGGTTCAACGACACCAAGACCATCCATTCGTGGTGCATTAGTAAAGGGTGATGAACAAGTAACATCATCTACACCACCTCCAATTTATGTTAGATCGACATCATTTACAAATAAAGGGATTAAAAAAGGAATATTTGATGATGCAAAAAGTCGCGAATTAGAGCAAGTTTTAGCATCAGTTAAGAAAAAGCATAAAAATCAAGGTAAATAAATCCAGTTTTACATGAAATTCGATTCTCAATCAAGGCACTGCTAGAACTACGCTACATCCAATCTCCGACTTGTATCAGATCAATATTATTTCACCAAGCTTAATAACGTCTAAAATCGCTCATTGGCACAAGTTTTGGCATCATTTAAGATAATACATGAAAAATTAAGCCTAACTAAATCAAAAAATTAATTTCTATACCATGCAGAATTTGATTTATAACACCAAATAATACTGGCATTAGATTACGTGCTGCCTAATGCCATCTGCTGTTTCAATCTTGCTGTAACTATCTCGTATTTGAAAGTAACGATAAAAGTTATATTCATCATAGAAATTAAGCAACCCATCTGTTAACACAAAATTGTATAATTATTCATGTCTATTCATTTACACTGTACGTATATCTATCAATTCACTTTTGCATCGATTTACTTCGCTAGCTCTCTATATGTACAAGGATACTATTAAATTGGATACCGCAATACCATTAAATATTTTCCCGAAAATAATAAACTAATTTTCGATATTTTATATTAATTATGTAACATAGTTCAATATAAAAATTCTTCAGTACTACTCAAAAGGAACTATTATGAATGATCTTGTTTCTTCTTCTACTTCGCTAATAACTGTAATGATATTATTAGCTGAAATGATAGTAATTATCCTGCAGTCGTTAATTTTTCAATTGTTTTGGCCATCCTACTGTTAAAGTTACTTCTTTCACTATAACGTTTCAATTGAGACGATACTACTATATTTGATACGTTCTAATCATTCTTCTATATAGACATAATTGTTATAAATAATTGCCAACATTTAAGTTTGTTTCTGTAAGAGCTACAATCTTCTGTCAGTTATGTATTTATTTGTATTTATTCTAGCAGTACCATATCAATCAGCTCAACATTCAACATAAAAAAACACTGTCATTACGTTCATTCCAATCACTGTTGATATTTGTAAGTTACAAATTTGAAAAAAATAGAATGTTTACAAAATATTTTACGTTCTATTTTGTCTATAATACGATTCTAATCATAGTGGTAGCCTGCCCTGAATTAGTCGGTAACTTTATGATGTTGACGTTGAAGGATAATTTTTTGCGATCAAGTGATTCTTGATGCAGTTAAAGGACAAAAACTGATATAGCCGTTACGGTAGTGCAAGGAAACCGTTTTCTTAAAATAAAATGAAAGATCAAATGGACAATAGTCCACCTATAAAATTTTATCTTTTGGCCATTAACAATGTGTAAAACTACTTTATGTACATAGATGAGTTATTTAAATAATTTACTAAATTAATTGCTTATTTTTTTTATAAAAGATCACTATGGAAATGATCTTCATTCATCATTTTCTACCATGTTACTATCATCAAATTTCCAAGTTTATGTGATGTACTAACCAATGTCACCATCAACAAACTTAATATTGCTTTAATTTGAAATAAAATATCTCAGCTCAGTTTTCTCTTCCTTGCTGATATTATTCAATTATCAGCTGTGCTATAAATTTATTATCCTTAGTAAGTTAAATATCCCGTAATTTGAAACTTAAAGTTATCCTTAATTTTATATTAATTTTAATATTATGAAATTTTGCATTAAAGAAACTGGCTAGAACGATATAATTGCTTTGCAGCAAGAATAGATAATACGTTCTAACGATATGCTTAGAACTTATCGCTATCATTTACATTAATATTATGGGATTATGACATGTGCGAAGCTGTATCATCTCAACAACCTAGCTTTATGCTATAGAAGGCTAAATAGCTATGAATTTAAAAATAAAATTCTCTGTAAACACTTCTTTCTATAATAATGCCATCCAAATACAACATTCTAATTATGAAGTTACTTATAGCGTTTAGATATACGAAATAACAATTACACTTGAAATACTATTTTCAGCTTACCCTTTCTTTCAAACAGACATCGTTAACGTTATGCTTTATGTTGGGCATTGTTGTATCATTTTGATATTGCATAAATTTAAAAATAAAATATCTTAAAGTCATCCTTTTAATTTGTACTAACTTTAAATCTTTCAGTTATATCCTACCAGAAGCGTTGTATCGTCATAAGCAAACTTGATATTGCTTATATCAGATTTGCAAAGATATCTCTAAGCATTCTTTTCGTCTTTGTTACCGTCAACTTAAGCTATGTACATATATACAGTAGCAATATCATCCCAGCCATACTAAATGTTGCTTAGATTATTGTTATATCCAGTAGATAAAAGAGTCTTATCAGTTTTAGCTATTGCTTTATTGGCGAGATATCTTAGTTAATAATGAGAACGTAAATTAATCTAAGCTGGTAAATATGCGTAAATATGCGTAAAAAGATAAGCTGCATCGATCAGTAATATCTAAAAGTTACCTTTATGGGAATTTCCTCTTTTAAAAGGTAAAGTAAATAGGACTGGTAAAGTTGCCGACGGACTGATTAGTTAGGTAACAGCATCAATAGCTCAAAATTTTAGCCTACTGTACGAATATAGCTCTAGATAAAATAACCTAAAGAATTTATTTCGGAATAGTCCTTTAACGTGTTTAGGCAACAAGATGTATACTCTAATCTATACCTTTGTCATAAGGGAGACTGATTTGTCTTGGATCGTCAAAATAAAATAGTAACGAATAAGAGTAGGTTAGTTACTATCCTTCTTATACGCTTTATCATGGACAAATGACATGGTAGTTTAAGACTATGAGCCCAAGACAATGTAAACTTTGTCAATTACAAAGAAGTATAGAACCTAAGCAAATTTTATATACTATTATGGAGAAGAGACTGCTACTATTTAAAAGTAGTCTTCATTTAGGCTACGACTTGATCTCAGTTGATTATTGCAATTTTAAATCAGAATTTTAATACTTTTTGAAAATCCATTCTCAAGATTGATATAATCAATCGAGCTTTCAGTATAAAAAAGATTAAGTAGATAAACATAAATTCCATGAAAATAAAAATAGTTATTTCTTTGTGAATTTTATATACTATTTGTTTTAAATTGGCGACCGAAAAAAATTGAAATCATAATTGAAATATTTAGAAAAGAAGAAAAACTATGATTGATAAACATAGATCTAAATTATTTCATCACAGCTCATACATGAAATAAAACCTCGATATGGCAAAGAATAATAATCATTATTTGCTATACTCTTAAAACTTAACAAAAAGGCTTTCAAACATCCTTTGAAATTATCTACTATTTACATGAAAAGAGAAAGTCTATAGAAAGAATTAAAACAGGTAAATAGTTATTAGGTCGAAAATTTAAATCGTGGCAACTACTACGAAACTATAAAATAATAATTATCATAGTATAATATTAACATTATAAATAATATTTACAATAATCCATTGTTCATGGTAATTCGGCATGTAACATTAATTTGCAACCCTTTCATCCATAACTATCTTAAAATATTAATGGAATCTAATGTTGGCTAGCTTTTATATCTTAAGGTATAAATAAAATGAATAATCCTTTTTGAAAATAAAAACTAATTATATTGTTTCTAATTTAAATGAACGACGCTATCTTATCAAGCAAAATGATATTTTACGCTGAAAATTATCATTTATCTATCCTATATACATATACGCATATATATATATATAGGTTCTACTCCACTTAATCTATTAGATTTCAATTGGATGGATAATTGGATACTGTAAATCCTTATGTATGGCAATACTTCTATGTGTGTCCATAGATTAATACCATAATTTAACTATCGATATTTCATTAGTGAATACAACCAATGTAATAAAGCTAGTTGGAACGGCAGCTTAGATCAAATAGAAGCTAAATTGTTACTAATTTTTCCGAACGTTTCTATTTTAATGTAGGTAATATTCTTCGACAAGTTTGATAATTATATTATCTAAATCAGGATTATGTTGTGTGGCACCTTTTAAAATAAAGATAAATTAAAAAATCGGAGTCTTTTTCTTTCTTTCGTAGGCTGACAACATACTCAATTGAAATCTTTTTATGATATCTTACAGTATATCTTCTATCATCTCCAGCACGTACATGTCATGTGCTTAGTACGTAATATTAATGATTTGGCGTAATTTGCATTTGTAGGCTTTGCCCAATATTGACTGGACCATTATTAACACTAGCAATTGGTGCACCGTTACGATAGAGATGATTTGAATAAGGGCTTGGCATCGCTTCTGAACCATCTGATTGTGATGACAATGGTGATAATGTCGATGTAGACCAACTTTCTGGTGATTCTGGTGGTGGTGTCAAATAATTAATAACCAATCGATTACTTTGTGAATTTAAATTAGTTGTTGTTGTCGTTGTACATTGCGGTGGTGTTTCACCATTAGGATATTGCGAAGGCGGTGTTAGATAGAATTCTTGAGTCATCATTGATGGTACTGGAACTGTTGTAATAGCGTTGTGAGTCATTAAATGAACACCGTTGACATTCTCATTATACAACTGCTGCGATGAAACTGGAATACCGGTTGGATTATTATTAGTAGTTACTATTGAAGGCGAATCATCACTTTCTAATTCATCCACTAAAACGGGTTGATCATCGGTTAAATTGTTTGCTGATGCTAACATTTCAAATCGTTTTGCATTCCTTTCTTGTAAATCTAAACTAGAATCATCACTATCACTAAACATAGCAACATCCGATTGCATATCTTGCCAACTTGTTTGCTCTATCATCCCATTATTGGTTATGGTTGGTCCATCATTTTCTAAATGGCCATTTTGATTGATAATATGATTACTAGAAGGATTACTGCCATCGTCTATATCAGTTGGTTGATTGTTAAAATCAGCCTCTTCATTATTATTAATGGGAGATACATAATCTAAAAAGGCTTGATCTAACTCTAACTCTAAAATATTTTGTAGATCAAATCCTTGATTGCCATCTTCTGTTTGCATAGGTACCGGCACGTAATTAGAGTTATGATGTAAACCATGACCATTGACCATTTCTGTGGTCATTGTTGGCAAAGTAACAGTGGCTTGCATGGGTAAACTTGGTTGTGTAACAGGACTAACACAAGTTGTTGTTGAATTTACACCTACCATACTAATAACTTCTCCATTCGCCGTAGTTACAACAGCTGATATTGGCGATGGTTGGAGAACAATCGGTGATGGCTGATGCTGTGGTGAATCATGATATTGTGGAGATGCTAAAGGTGAATTTTGGGCTGCATTAGGTACTAGTCTGGCTTGTTGTTGTTGCTGTTGCTGTTGTTGTTGTTGTTGCTGTTGTTGTTGTTGTTGCTGCTGTTGCTGTTGTTGCTGTTGTCGATGGAGCTGCTGTTGCTGTTGTTTTTGCTGATGTTGATGAAGCTGCTGCTGTTGTTGTTGCTGCTGCTGTTGATGGAGCTGCTGTTGCTGTTGTTGCTGTTGATGAAGCTGCTGTTGCTGTTGGTGTAGATGCTGTTGCTGCTGATGCAATTGCTGTTGTTGTTGAACTTGAGTTTGTACTTTCTGTTGTGACTTTTGTGCGTCTCGACCATTGACCGATTTGGCATAATTAGTTGTGGTCGATTGGCGTGGAGTCATACGAGGTATAGGTACTTTGGGTTGTGTTGTCTCTTGGCGAAATATCTCAGGGGAGACAATTCTTGGCTTATCCGGTAATGGAGAGAGTGATGCAGCTGTTCCGTTGGTCGTTGCTCCATGAACAGCAACTTTCCGACTCTGATGTTGACGAATTAATTCTGCAACTTGACGATGTTGCTTCTCCTTAGCAACATCATATGGCGTTCTAAGATGAATATCCTCAATACTTTCATCAGCATTTCGACCTAATAGAGCTTTGACATTTTCAATTCTGCCGTCTTTAGCTGCCTTAAATAGTGCTGTCTCACCATAAGTATCTTGTGCATCAATAGCAACTTTATGTTCAAGTAATATCTGAACGATACGAGAATGTTCTGTACTGGCTGCCCAATGCAATGCATTTCGACATTTGTTATCGACTGTATCTACCTTGACCACATCAGGTAATTCCAGTAATTTCTTGACAATATTAGTCATACCATAGCGTGCAGCATAGATTAATGGAGTACTACCGGTTTTATCCGTTGCAATTAAATCTGTTCGGCTATCATGAGCTAAAATCTAGTAGAGGATAAATGGTCAAAAAATTGATTAAGAAATGCTATTTTTCTCCTTGAACATGTTTCAACTACCGTATAAATGCCTTCATTTGGCAAAATGAGGAGTAACATTGGAAAGTATATAAGAGCAAAGGATCGAGGATGATAAGTAAAACTAGGAAATATTGGCTCAATTACAATTACAATTTACCTTAAAAATAGTCTCTGCTTTTGATGTTATAGCGATATGTAACGGTGTCCTACCCGTACTCTCTTTAATATTTGGATTAGCACCGTGCTCTAATAACTTTGCCGTAGCAATTTCATTTCTTTCAATTGAAGCAAAATGTAATGCTGTCATTTGATTATCATCTTGGGCATCTTTATCAGCTCCCGATTTGATTAGGTAATCCATAACGGTAGCAATATCAATGTGATGTTGACTATTTTGATCATTCTTATCATGATTTTCCTGATCTTTCTTCTTACCATTAGTTAATGGATTCGATTTTCGACGAACAATTTGCATCAACGGTGTTATGCCACCTTTCCCTTTAGCGTTAACATCTTCTACATAACTTAATAATTCTTTGGGAGCATTTTGATCAGGTAAAAATTTAGGATTCGATTCGTTACGATGTAAACTATTCCATTCACGATCGTCTTCAGCAATCGCTGGGAAATCGTAATTAGAATCCGTTTCACTATCGTCGTCAGGATGATTTATTTGCTTTTGATTAATATTGTAATGAAAGCGTTTACGTGGAGGTTCGATAATATCCACTTGTGTTTCACCGTCAGAATTCCAATTGATTTCTGTATTTTTAATATCTGGCACTTCACGACAATTTTTATATTCTTGCCGCATTTGTTGCTTGTGTCCATAAGCACCAGCACCATTATTCATGTTGCTATTTCTAATCATAATAATAAATAACATCAATTTCTAGCTATCTAAGTACAAGGCAACTAAGCAACAAATCAAAATACTTGTCGATTACATCACTAATGTAATTTATTGCTGTAACTTGAACATGCTAATTATCGACGGTTATAACAAAATCGATCTAAACTACTGTTTTTAAACATGAAGATTCTACTTACGGTCCAGCAAGTTTGGAGTTATAACTAGGTAATCCATTATTATCTTTATTCTCTTTTGATCCAAAAGGAAACCAAATACCGCGAGTTTCTTTCCTTTTACGTGTTTGCAAAACCCCTACCACTAGGAAGATGATAAATACGGCAGCTCCACCAACGGAAAGTATTAGAATCCATTCCAATGATAGCGGATTATCTTGAATCGGCACTTGAATAATTTCATCTGGAAAAGAAGGAAATTAAGAAATAAGTCCATAGCTTAATTTCTTTTCGCGACAAGAGCTTATTATATCTCCATGGTTTCGATTTGCAACTCTATGCAACTGTCACTGATTCATGCGATGGCAAAATCATGATGCAAATTATTGAGGATTATAATACGATTGCACGATTCGTAATTTTAATATGGTAACCATGCAATCTATGATCAATTTATAAGTCTTGTATCTAATTTTAATATAGTATTTTTATTATTGGACATTATCCATCTTGATTATTCATGATAGGACGGCTTACCGGACAGAGAGAGTATCTTGAATGGAAGTTTGTTTAAGAGAATACTCTTGGAAATAGCTAAAGCTGCTAAAAATTTAGCCGCCTAAAAGGAAATATTAAATGGAGATGGATATACGTAGTTTCTATTTCTAGCTTAGGTCTCAAATTGTCAATTCAAGTTATAATTACGCTACCTCATTTGTCTTCTTAAAGCAAGATCCTGTACATCCACGATTATCCAAGATTATACCTACTCGTAGCCTGTCATAACGGATATTTGAGAAATGAGAAGAAACAAATTAGAAAAATCAATCTTTTACTACCGATGTGTGAAATAAAGTAGCGCCAGAATTACTTCGACAGGAACTGAGTGTATTGCAAAGTCTATCACGAGTAATTACGTCTTATTTCTTACCCGACTGTCGATGTTGCTCGGCGTTCTCTATTCAATATAAACCTTCCATTTTTGAAATCGTTAAAGAGCGATCTTTTACTTCTTGATGTTGCACCAACCTTGACTTCTTTAACATCATCTTTACCATCCACTTTGGCAATTTCTATAGTAGTTCTTATAGCAATACTTAACGTTCTCAAAAATGACTTGGAGCTGTTGGTGAAGGATTCTAAATTGGTTGCCAAGATCATATAAGATACGCCTTTGGACTACGCGTGAGAATAGGCCATGATAGAGCAAAGAAAAATAGAAATTATAAGTAAATTGGACATGCAAGCCACAAGATATGCTGTCACTTTTTCTAGTTAATTTCATAACTCAACTTTAGTACAGAAACGAATTACGGAAGATTGATAGAAGAGCAAGTAAGATCAAGGAAAACAGAAAGAATAAAAGCTGAACACTTACATATTTTGGTGTTTGATCATTGCAATCTAATCCGTCAAACATGCATTCTCGGCTATTGCAGCCTTTATCGCAATAACCATTACCATAATTGGCTTCGCAATACTGATTGTAATTATCCCTAAATTTCAATTATAAAAGATACTTAATAATGGTAAAAATGAAACAACTGTACGAGAGAACTAGTCCAAGAGCTAGACAAAAAGGATACAATGCGAATGCGGTCGTGAAAATAACTTACGGGCAAGAAGCTACTGCTTGATTGCAATCCCAACCATCGTATAAACAGCTTTCAGAGTTACATTCTTGATCGCACCGACCATCATGAAAGAGCTTCCAACACTGTCGGCCATCCTTACGTGTGCAATTACTCCATGGGCTCAAATAGAGTGAGCAATCGAATCCATCCCAGGCGCATTCGTAGGTATTACATTCCGGCTGTTGTGAACGATTAAGAAATAGGGAGATATTAAACTTATGAAGGGACAATAACTAATGTCATTAGGATATAAATAAGCGATGAATACATTAGCTTATTGGATGAGAAGTATGCAAACTTTATCATGAAAAACTTACGTTGCAAACTGAATTGTTAAATACTTTCTTGCATGATGGGATGCTACAACGAGCGCCTATGTTATTAAGGCGAAATTCATTTCTTAGTACTGAAATAAATGCGATAAATTTATTGAAGATAGATCGGATTAGGTCATATTTACCTGGCAATTCTATTTCGCAAGACTTTCCAGTATATCTCCATGGGCATTGGCACTCTTGACGACCTTGTGAACTTGTACATACACCACCATTTAAACAGCGACATCCACCTTCACATCTTGAACCGGTAAATCCAGAGACGCAATCACATTCGTATCCATTGGCTAATTCTCGGCATTGACCATCATTCTGGCAAGGATTAGGCGAGCAATGAATTACTTTACTATTACAATCTTGACCAGTGAAAGAGGATGGACATGAGCAAGTGTAAGTGCCATTACTACTTTGGCATGTACCACCATTGTCGCAAGGATTGGATGTGCATGGATCAAGGCGACTTTGGCAATTTTGACCTACACGAATTGATAAGTGTTTCAATAGGACTATCGATGATGAGTGGAAAACTCCTTATTGAATAAACTTGTTAATTTTACCTGTAAATTCATCTTTGCAGATACAAGTATAGCTATTATCGCCATCAATGCACTTTTCAAGGCCTTCTGCGTGGCATGGCTGGGATAAACATTCATCAATGTTACCTTGGCATCGATCGCCAATAAAACCTGTATTACATTCACATCGGAATCCACCAATTTCATCGATACATTTCCCACGACGATAGCAGGAATCTTCCTGGCATTCATTTCGATCAGTTTCACAATGGATACCAGTGGTTCCAGTAGGACAAACGCAAATGTAACGATTAACAAGATCATGGCAAGTTGCAGTATTCATACATGGTGAACTTGCACATTCATTGATGTTGGTTTCGCAGTGTGTTCCTAGCGAAAGTTAGATTCGTATTGGTGCTTTAATATCCAGTAGATTTGAATCGGATGAAACTGTTATACTTTGAGATTTAATCAATAGTGATACTCTTACTAATAAACAACGTAGCAACTTAAGAAAATTGTACCTGTATAGCCTTCCATACATGTACAGTTATAACTGTTGATATCATCATGGCAGACACCTTTATTTAAGCAGGGCGAAGATGAGCATTCATCGAAATTGCTCTCACAATTGCGTCCAGTATAACCTTCAATTAATAGCAATATAAATTAACCATATGAATATTTGAGGAGCTATTATCAAATATTCTGAAATATTTAAGCAATACTTCATGATGCCGTTAACTACCTGGTTGGCAGACACATTTATAGTTATCGTCGAGATCGTAACATGTCCCATCATGATGGCAAACGGTACTGGCACAATCATCGATATTCGTTTCGCAATTGCGCCCTGTAAAGCCATCTTTGCAGAAACATTGATAATTGCCAATATCATTAAGGCAATTGCCATTAAGGCATGGATTGGATAAGCATTCATTAATATCAGTTTCACAACGTTGGCCTCGATAACCAACAGGACAATCGCAAAAATAGGAGCCGATGGTGTTGACACATTTGCCTTTCTCACATACACTTGCGCCAAGGTTACATTCATCTGCAGAAAGAACGAGAATGAAATATAAGCTTTGCTTTTAAAAAGGATAAAATGGAGTAGTACAACTTTCATAAAAGAAGGAGCTCCTCACAGCTGTATATCAAAGACATTATCGCTGTACTTACTTATATCAATTTCACAGTGGATTCCTGTATAACCTCGAGAACACATGCATGATGCATTACCGCTAATATCGGTGAAACATGAGCCTAAATTCATGCAGGGGCTAGAAGCGCATTGATCAACTTTGTCGCAACGAGCACCTAATATAGATGATAGTAGCAATTTAACAGTGAGATACCAGGGTAGATGTTGAAACTATCATGACAGGTTATTGCGAATATTGGAAGTCATTGCAACTCCACTTATGCTTATTAAATTCACTTCTCTTACCGGTGTATCCTCGCGCACAATCGCATTGATAACTTGCGACTAAATCAACACAAGTAGCACCATTTTGGCATTCATTATTAACGCAATCGTTGATGTTGGTTTCGCATTTTTTACCCGTAAAACCAGCTTGGCAATGGCAAGCATAAGAACCATAAGTATTTTGACATGATGCATTATGATTACAAGGATTCTTGATACATTCGTTAATATCCATAAGGCATGCGGTGCCGGTAAAACCTAACAAATAGCAATGATAGGCAATGAATTTAGTCGACAATAAACGCATCAACGCCAATCAAGGTAAAAACTCGGACTAGATAAATAAAGAACTTATTTATTGCCAAAATTGACATATACAGCACTGAAATAGACAAATCAGTTAACAAGATTGAGATATAAATTGTATGCCTGTAGTAATATAATCTGACTGCTCTTTTTCAAAGTGTACAGTTTTCAATCTTGAATTAGCAAAGACTGCATAATTTATACGGAACTCAGACTAGACTTAACTTAGAAAGTATACAGTTTTCAATCTTGAATTAGCAAAGACTGCATAATTTACACGGAACTCTGACTAGACTTAACTAGAGAGTATACAGTTTTCGATCTTTATTTTAGCAATGATAATTGCATAATTGCACGGAATAACTTTAAAATTACAACTTACCGGTCGGGCATACACATGAATAGTCTTTCCATGTTACCGGATTAACGGCACATTTTTGTGCTGCACTACATGGTGAACTCAAGCAAGGATTGGAATATTTACATCTTCGGCCAGTAAATTCTGGTAAACAGCTATAATTCGATAGAAAATAAAATGATTGAATTAGTCACCTATACGTTAGATATTAAATAATAAAATATTAGTCTATGTATTGTAAAAGAAGATTGTCATTGAGCGCTATCATAGTACTTCAATTAGGTTAATATCAACCGAAAGTATTAGCCCTTCCATCTTCCCATAATCCAACTGGATAAATTAATTATCATTAACTTATTCATCAGAAAACAAGTAAGACTACGTCTGATTTGCCCCTTAGCATTTTTTTTGTCATAAATTAGCATCTCATTAATTATGCTGATGCAAATTGGGAATCCCTTGTGCTATACAATGTTAAACTTAATTATAAATCTTCTCATATTACCTCCCAGTTATCGTCTAGAATCTTAATAGAATCTTTTTCTGTTAGACATTGACTCTGACTTATAACAGTATTCCTTCAAGTTTAGCTATATCACGGATAAAATATATATATACTGTAGTCTACGATAGCAATTACTTTATTGACACCTATTGATGATATTGTGCTTAAGTATCTATCTCAGTGATATCAATTAGTTTTGGGTTTGGCTTATCATTTTAATAATATCAATACAGATAAATTTACGATGTACTGTATTCATAACGATGAATTTATTAATTTAATGAAGGGAGGAGTAAACTACCAATTGCAAAATTAAGCTGACATTATGAATATTTTATCGTGAGATGGCTAAAATCAGGATTGACTTTGCTAAAAGGGAGAAGTAAAGATAATATACGATAACGAAAAATCGTATGTAGTAGGTTGATAAACAGCTTTTTTTTCAATATGGATAGGAATAATCACATTATTAGTATATCAGATTCATTTTCTCAAACACAAAAATGATTGATTAGTACATCTTTACATTTAATTTACTTGAAATATGGAAGCACTAAAGTGGAAAGATTGAGAATAGATTGATCATCTAATTATTATATTAGTTCTAACATATTCCCTATATTATAATTAGGGATTGTATAGCCGGCTGTCATTACTGTGTCCTCGAAAATTGGGGAGATTATAATTCCATTCAAGAGAATATGTTCAGTTCTTATCAAGTTATGCCATCATAGGCGCGATTAATGCACTTGAAGTAGTCGACTACTTATGTTTCAAATATAAATTAATAAAAATGATTACCATTAGTTAATTATAAGGGGAATTTTTCCGTAATTAGATAAAGCTTATAAAAATACTTGAAGTAATTGACTACTAATGTATTGGATATGAATTAAGAATGATTAGTTAATTACATCGAGAATTTTTCCGTGATTAGATAAAGCCTATTAATACACTTAAAGTATTCCACATGCTTTAATAACTGTCTCGGCTTTTTTATCATATACTACGAAAATTAAATGAATTGTTGACGAAGTTAGGCAAAATTGACATTTTCCATTAACGAAGATAAGAGTTGGGTCAAAATTCAATTTTTTATATCATCAATGCTCGAAGATTGCAACATCATTGATGATTAAACTAATTAACTTGTATCATCAATAAATTTCCGCTGAATGATATCATTTTATTGGCATAATCAGACTGTTATGTTGTCATGGCTGATTAACATTATTGCCTCAAGTCATAACTTTCAAAAGAATACTATGGAGTGATAAATAGAAATGGAAACAATAGCAAGAGATGAATACGGCGGAGAAGGAAACAAAAAGCAGAGCCAAAGGTATAATCATATTCTTTTAACTTGTATGGTGGCAACGAATATCATCGAATTGAATTCTGTACTAGTTAATGCCTACAAAGTTTTCAGTTATTATCAATGTCTTAAAATTCTTTTCTATTATTATTGTCGCTGTCGTTGTTGGTGGTTGTTGTTGTTGTTGTTGTGATTGCTACTCCTTTTATATCGTCTACGAAGAGATATCTTTTACTTTACCGTCTCTCTACCCTCTATTTTACTTTATTTTCAAACTATTGGCATTGTTTGAATCAAAATAGACGTCGTATGGCTTTTAAAATAGAATTAAAAACGATTTCTTCCTCACTACTAATAAGTCAAGTGCTTGACAAGTACCGATACAATAGATTGAACAATATCGATTATTTTTACGCCTTTCCACGGATATATCAAGCTTAACTTCCTCTTCTGTTTTACTAGTGATTTTATTCTTGTAGTGGATAGAAGTGAAATTTCCTAGACTCCTCGTAAATTGGTAATAGCCCTTAGAATAATAAGTATGAAATCAAAAATATCTACCTATATTGTCGACATGATGGACAAAGATAGGGGCGCACGGCACAGACAAATTATTTAATTTGATCAATATGTCATAGCATTGACGCGTTAGTCTAGTTGATTTAATGAATAAATTGAAATATTTAATGATTGTTGAGCAATGGATATAAGAGAATTAATTAATGTTAGCCGAGTTATTATTTGCATGAATGGTGTTCATAGGAATAAGGGGTGCTAAAATCTAAAAAGAATAAATTGTTCTCGTGGACAGCACGTGTTGGTTACTTATTTGTTGCCTATCTCGAATCAATATATTCTTCTTGTTTTGAAGTTGGCGACGGTTAGTGACAAAAGATCAGAAACTAATTGCCAGCGGTAAAGATATTAAAATGTACAACTAATCAATTGTAACCTCGGTGATACATTCTATTAATATTGTCTATGTCATTATGATATTCCTTGTGGTCGATGAATACGTTCTACACTCGACTGAGATTCGATGAAATAAAATGAAGAATTGTAATATCGCTAGACATTATTTTCCTCCCTCTAGCTATAAATTTTATCCTTATCAATTCCTTATCATTGATTCCATAATTTAAATTACGGAAATGTAATTATCTGAATTATGATTATAATCATATCAGTTTGAACATTAATTATTCTAAATTTAAATTACATTAATTCGTTGATTAGCTATATAAATCATGTCAGAAAAATTACAGTACTTCGATACGTAATAGCTTGATTTAATATGAATTCTTGCTATTATGATTTGTTATGTTCGAATCGCTTAAGATATGTTAGATGTTTGTAAAGTTTAACTTGAACAAAACCAATTACTCATGTCCAAAGCTTGAAAGAGCAAGAAGAAAATGTTATCGTGAGTCGTGACATTGATTGTCACTATCATATTTCCGGTTAATTGCCTATCGTCAATTTAAAAGTTAATTTGTTATAGTGATGTTGGACCGATTTGTTCATCATCTTAATATATTGCTATTTGACGTTAAGTAGAGTAAAAAAACGAGAGAAAATAATTACATGAAGATTAGAGTAGGGATTATGAGTCATCATCGTGATGCTTAGTTCATGAATATAACATGTCTAATCAAATCTCTATTGAATCTTCTTGTCGTCATTTGCACTGATTATAGAAATGAAATAAATTGACTTTTTTCTTTTTTGACTGTCTGCGTCTCTTTTTTCTCTGTATTAGACTCTCTTCATCTTTTCAAATCAATAGTTATATTGTCAGCAATATTTAAAAGTATACATGCCTAGAAGCACTAATTAAGGCCACTTGAAACTAATATAATAGATACTGTTCTTATTTTTATTCAAACGATGATTTAATGAAAAGAAAAGTAGATATAAAAAGAAAAGTATAAGATTGATGAGATTTTAATATCTCATCTACTAAGTTATCAATAATAGCTACTAAAACAGGAAATAGCGATGGTAACTCAAACATAAAAGCATCAAGATATTCAAAATTTAAATCTGAAAAAAGTGATCGTCATACTGCTCTCATCAATGCCTTTTCCGTTTAAAATGAAGCTCCTAATGCGATGTAAAGAGACCAAGAGAGTAAAAAGAGTGATAACAACAAGTGGACAAATAACCAACGTTCATGGACAAGCAATCAATGATATATATAAATAAATTACGCTGATTTCTCTTTAGTCATGACATTCTCAATTGTATAAGGTTATGATTGACATAGAATTTAGACAATAGAAAAAAATGATGGAGGAGAAAGGTCGTGTGGGATGCAACTGGTGTCACTATTTTTTAAAACATAGTCTATTGAAATTGATTCAACAATTCAATCTTTAAGACTATTATTATCCATGAGTGGGTACAACAGTTGCTCTTCTCAATCGTTATTGTTCATTAATTAACGATATTATACAATTTCTACATGACTATGGGATACAAGGAAAGCATCACTAACAAAGTCAAAAGATGGATTGAAGAAGAGGGGGGTAGCAAAAAATAATAAGAAGAATAATCAAAGAAAAATAGAATATTACAAACAACACGCTAAGAATAATTATAGCCTCAAGTCGCTTGCTATTTCAACTAAATTGGGGAGAGTATTATGAAATAACAGTCGACCATTCAACAGTAATCTAATTAGTTAAGAGAGAATTAATTTCAACTTCTTAAGCAAAGTACGGGACCGGCTAGACATCAATGTCCATATCA